GAGAATTCAGTGTCATCATATTAGCTGAGCTGGATGTTTGAGTCTGTACAACATTATTACCATCACCGTCCAGAGCAAAAGCAGACCTGGTTGCGCATGACTGCGCCGCTTCTATTGGTGTAAGACAGTAACTTTAGTCACAGAGCGTGTGTAAGAGGCTGATAAGAGCCAAGCACTGACACTGCTTTGCTAGTTCAATTGCTTTGTGTGTACATTGCATAAAAAGGCAAGGAAAAAAAGAATGAGAGCAGTTGCTGACTTAAGTGTAAAATAATTTCCTTAGATTATTTAATAAGGCTCTGTGATTTTTTCATGAAAAAGCTATATTCTTCTTTAAGAAGTTAAGCACTACTAATGCATTACAGGGGAATAATCAAGTAGTGTTGTTTTATTGCTAATATATAATAATCCAAAGACTCCCAATTATACTTGATATAACCCATTGCTCTCATTCTGTCCATCTGCACCCAGTAATCTCATCCAAGACAGGAAACAGGCTTGAACAGCAAATACGAGGCAGGAGTCCCATGCGATTATTGAATAAATGATGTATTAATGTGAGGCCGCAGTCTTGTAATTGTAACTATTTTAGGTAAAGTACTTGCATCCAGCTGGAAGAAATGCTGGCGCTCTTCCTCACTAACTAAAATATTTCCACTTTTAGGAGGGAGCCTTCAAAATATGTTTTTCTCCTTCCTCTTGAAATGAAATGTTAGTGGAAGTAGACAAAATATCTCTACCCTCTGTCTAAAAAGGAAAAGGGGGGGACAAAAATCAATGTAACACGTCCAATAAAACCTCAAAATTAATTCTAAAGGCAAATAAACACCTCTATAAAACAACCTCTACAAAACTAAACACTGAAGCCTGTTTAAATGTTTTCTTGTAGGGCTGATGTATTCAGCGCAGTCTGTTTTAGATAATGCTGCGTGAATGCCGTGTATTTTCACTGGCTTTAGAGAATGTGGTGTTTATAGTACCATATTACAATAATGTAGTTTTCCTTTAAACTGAAGCACATCGACAAGTTGAATGTTGGAATTGAGGGCATTTTGTATTCATGGCGAATGCTGTGAGCTCTTGACTGCACAATATTTAGGATGACAACACTTTTGAAAAATGCCGCCCGTTATCTCAGTCCTTCATACATATATGCGCTCTACTTGCACAAATTGTGCTTATTTTCATCTTCCCTCACCATAATCTCGCTCCTCGCTGCCTCCGATCGGTCGTGACAGGTGTCGCTCCCTTGCCCTGCACTCACGCACACACACAAACACGCAGATGCACACACAGAAAATAAACATTAAAGAGTTCCTCCAATGGGGCATATCTCATAAAGCCGAAATACTAATTTAGCTGAAAAACTCTACTCGAATGAAAATAAAACTCCAATACGTCTCTTTTCACAGCAGTCCGTGTTCCAGATCAGCGTCGAAGGGGTTAGAGGTTTTATTCATGAACATTTAGCTGTCCTTCTTAATAAGACAGACTACAGGGATGTACAGACAACCTCACAAAACAGCTTATTGACTCTCTTTCATGTTTTCCACCTATGACAGGTGGAAAGAGTTGTGGCAAAGTCAGGAGCATCTAGGGAATGATCCAGAGGGCAAATGAGGAGCAGGGTGACAGAATGAAATATTAGCGAATAAGAGGGGAGCCATGGGGGAGGGGGTGCTGTTGAGGGGCGCTAACTCATTTTAAGAGTTCCTCCTCTGACAGACCAGTGCTGTTGCACTGAAGGACATTTAATCTTAAGACCCAAGGCTGACCTCGTGCCAATAAAACAATGTTAAAACTGAGGCATTAGGTAAGTGTTTTCTGTCTGCTCTGCTTGTCTGCCAAAGCTCCTTCCTTCACTCTTGGCTGGCATTTCTGAGAGCTCAATGTGCCTTGTGTTTCCAGCATCCATGTGCAGGCTTTTCTGAGCTGCACAAGCCCATTTTAGGTAAATAATTTTAGCTCCTATCGCGTGTCACATTTTGTTTCACTACAGTTCCTGGGTAGAGAAAAAAAGAACAGATCTCTCTACCACAGACCCATATTGTAGTTATATTGAGTGCTCATTCTAATGAATTGCAAGTCAATGAGCCCTTTAATTGTTCTCAGTTTTATGCAGAATGCAAGATGATGCTGTCTTTTGCTGTGCTGCAAGACAGTAATGACGCCATTAAACTCCCCACTGACGATGCAGCGAGGCTCAGTCATATACACATTCATACAAAGCTGAATGTGATTTTGCTGTGACGTCTGTGCTAACAGTTACAAGCCTTCGACAAATCTAATCCCGATTATGATTAAATGGCCTCTGAAACACAGCTTCACTTTCAATCCTTATGTCAAGATGCCAAGGCAAATATGATTTTGCCAGTTAAATATATTTTCATTGAGACAAAATCTTTTCTGGTAACAAGATATATGGGACAAGAGCTCTCCTCGACAAAGCAGCTCACAAACTTTGGCAAAAACAGCAGCAGGATCCATACTGAGTGGATGCAGAAGGCTTTTTTGGAACACGGTTTATGGCTATTTATGACATGCCATTCAAATCGGACTAACAGTCAACAATTATTTGCCAAATATTGCTTGTGTGAAACCCAGCTCAATAGCCTTTTTAGCTCTCTCTACAGAGAACAGCTTGTTTTGCATCATCTCTCTGTGTCTCTCTCCAGACCTCTAATCCGGTTCCATTGTCTCTCAGTGCAGTTTTATGGATGGTAAGGACATGAACAGAAGGGTAAAGCAGACATTATAATTAGAAACTCCCCATTAACACCCATGCTAAAATTCTCAATTTGTCTACTCTTCCAGCTGAACCTTTTCCTGTATTGTATAATGAATACATTGGAGTTTATAGCTGCCACTCACTTTGTTGTAATTTTTTTTTTTTTTACAAATGTATGCATCAGCTGTAAAGAACCCTTCCTTTACTGCCCTTTAGATGAACACGGAAGGCATCCATTCTTTCTGTTAACTACAAAATTAACTATAGCAATGTCTTCTCATCGTCACACCCTATTTTGAGGCACTGCAAAGGATTACAATAGGAGCCAACTAAACACATAAAAATATAAGGTTGCTTTCAGGGGTTTTTTTTGCATTCAATTCATAATTTCAAGGCTACTGCTATGAAAATGCTCAGTTTTAATTAACACCTTGAAAATGTTTTTTACTTGTTGGAAAAATGACTTACATGCAAATGTGTGCATAGGCTTTCTTATCTTACAATACTTACAATACAACAACACTATATTTTGGTAAATATTTGTCATTTTAAACCTACTGCACCGAGTTAATTTTAGATACATTTATTTATGTGTTTAACTGATTTAACGGCTGAACTTTCTTGTGAACTAGAAGATTTTTGTGCAGCTTTAAGTTAGCATGTGGAGATGCCTAAAAGAGTCAAAGTTGTGTTAGCAGTATAATATGGTTGCTTCTATCATAGATGGAGTGTACCTATACCATCATGCTTGTCATTTAATGCAAAAAAGAAATGAATAAACATGTGAACATCGCTACTCCTCTAAAGTTGTACACATCCCACCATTTCTCCTTGAACACAAACTAACATCAGCTGTTTGTAGAGCGTAGGAAGAAAACAGCATGTTTGTGATTTCTCTTTCCCTTTCCATTCATCCTACGTTCAGGTAACTGAATCTATGTAATGCAAGTAATGACAGTGTGATTAAATTTAGTACAGTAACACATTACATTACTGAAAAATATAATGGGATTACAGTAATGCATGCATTACACGTAACCCAGAATTTGGGGCTTTTAAGTTTGAGTTCATATGAATTGGTTGGGTCCCTGGCACAGACCTTGCTTTTAAGTATAGTCCACAAATTTTCAATACAGTTTATGTTGGGACGTCCAAGAGATTTATTGTCAGCCTGTACAGCAATGTAAAACTCTCTTCAATGTGGACATTGATGTTGGGGTTCTTGCAGTTTCCAGTTCACGGCAGACTTGAGTATTGGTGGTTGCTGAGCTGTTCCTGAACATCCTAACCAACTTCTCATTTAAAGGTGGCAGTCTCTGTCTTCTCCCAGCCCTTGGCAGTGGTGACACACCCAAATAAGTTGTACTTACCGGTACATACAATTGTTTGAACTGATGAAGGCTCCAAGATAACTTCCCAACTTGTGCAAATCTCCCTCTCAGATCTTCCGTGAGTTCCTTTGACTTCCCCATTGTTCTGAGTTCACTTCAGTCCAGTGAGCGCTGTTAAACAAATCCTTTTGATGCTGGCAAACAGAAACTGCCAGTTGTTGTCAATTATGATCTCTACCAAGAAGTTAATGAGCCATGGCTTTGTGAAGTCATCACAACCACTTATTAAAATATTTACATTAACGTATGCATACATTTCAGCGCATGTGTATATTTTGACTCTTTGTGAAAGTCCACGTAGATCTTGTTTTGAAACACCCTTAAAGATGTATGCTGTGCAAATATTTCACCACAAAACAGTATGCCCCTGAAGACCTCATCTAACCTCTTGACCGGTGATATATTAGCTACATGACAAGGTCATTGGCTTTTGGTGCATTTGTAATGTAAAAATAAATAGATAAAATATTTATATGAATAAATAAAACACGGAAAAATGTTAACCCAAACACAAAAAATGCGAGGCTTCGGGTCAGAGTTTCTCTGTCTTGGTTTTACTCGTCAAACGAGTTTTCTCTCTCCCGCCTCTGTGTGTCTCTACCGTTCCCAAACACACAGGAGACTGCTAGCAGGAAGTAGAAAAAAAGAAGACAGCAGCTGACAAAAATAAGGAAGTAAACGTTGTCGGTTTAGAGCAGGAGCTCCCTTTGTGCTGTAAAGTAAAAGTAGATAAGTCGACAGCTCAGCAGCAGAATTCAAAGTACGACGGCTGCGCTAAGGAAGTTAGCCGTCAAGCTAATTCTTCACACACTCCACATTAACTCAGAAAAAGCCCTGGAGAGAAAACACGAGGGAAGAGGAAGACAGACGAGTAAGTACACTCTGCAGACTGCTGCAAACTGCCCTGCAGGATGAGGGAGAAAATGTCTGTGTGTTTGTGTGAGGAGGCACTGTGTGAATGTGAGTAAGAGACAGAGAACTGGCAGAGAGGGGCGGTGGAAGAGCGAAAGAGGGGGAGTTTTCTCTCCATTACAGCACTTTTTCTGTCGGTTGTTTGTGTCAGCAGTGGAGAGAGTACACAAACAGAGCCCAAGAGAGGAAGGCTTCGAGGAGAAAGAGAAAGGAGACAAAAAAGTGTGTACCAGCCAGGCATGCATCTGTGCTCTTTTCATTCTGTTCAGCTTCACTCCTGCAGAGTGGTCTGAAAGGGGGTGGTGGTGAGTGCACATAAAGACAAAAAAGAACAAGATATGAAAAGGTCAAGGCTTGACGACATAACCAGGAAGGTGAAGGAAGGAGAGCGGGGGAGTGTTTGGTCATGCTGAGGGCACAGGAATACACACTCAGCACTTTCTGTTTGTGAGTCAGTAAACAATGTGAGTGTGTTTGCACACAAAGGCAGTTCAGTGACTGCAGATGTGCTGTAATGTGGCACTCGATGGCATTTCGTCTAGATGCCTGACAACATCTGTTTCGGGAATATTAAATCAGAGGGGATTAGTCCTGAGAATCTTGGACTTTCCCTTGTGCAAAGATGAGATGTGTTTACAGAAGGTCACAGCTATTTATAACCCGTCTTCTTCTCACTGTTTCTCTCCTGTCAGACTTGGCTATCTGATACCTTGAATTTTTTCAGCCACCATGGAGCACAACGGAGAACCTGAGACAGGTTCTAATGAACTGAAACAAGAAGAGTTGCCGCAGATGGACGGTTCATGTGATGCGTGCGAGCCTGATGAGGCCCAGCCAGCGACACAAGTGTGCCCCATCTGCAGTTTTGCCTTCTGCCCCATCCATGCAGACAGACACGCCAGTAGCACGCATCATGTGCTATTGCCCTATAACCCCGAAGCCACCCAGGCTAATGGTCTTGGCACAAACAGGGACTCCAGAGTTGGAGGCGCAGCTGAGGATGAAGCTGTGGGAGAGATGGCAGCTGAAATGGGTGCAAATCGTGGGATGGCACCTCTTGGAGTGGCAGTAGTTAATGGGAATGAGAGGGTTGATCTTGAGGAAGGAGAAGGAGCCCATAACTCTCCACCTGTGGAAGCAGAGCTCGGCGAGGGAGCTGAGGGTGCAGAAGCAGGGCCAGAGGCTGGGGCTGCTGAAGACAATGGGAAGAGAAACACCGTGACAGTAGAGAGATTGCGTTGCAAGGAGCATGGCCAGGAGGGCTCCCTCTACTGTAAACCTGATGAAAAGATCATCTGTGTGGTGTGTGCTGTGCAAGGTGAGCACAAGGAACATGAGATCATAACTCTGCATGAAGCCTACGTTTGGCAGAAGGTGAGATGCACACTTATGTAAAGTTTATATATATATAGTGTACCTAATCTTTATGGCATGCCCCCCAACAATATCTGCTATGAAACATACAGTGTCACATGTCTAGTTTGCATTTCTAATTTTGTATTAGGTAGTGTGCCAATCATTGTCTTCAAGTTAATTTGAGAGGGCTATGTGCTCTATTTTAAATATATGTCCCATGATAGCCCACAGTTCTTCATCAATAAATTAATTCTTACAGACACTTTTATTCTTGTGAAAGCTGTGAAAGAGAAATGAAACATTAAAAATACACCCCGATGTCCCTTTTGGTTTGGTGCCAATTATGGCTTCACCCGTACTCCGTTTTCCCAGATGGCCTTTTCTCTTCAGGCATTTTAAATAGAGCCACTGAGTCACAAGTTGTTTAGTGAAGCACTGCATTTGGTCTAGTAAGTCATGTTAATCTGTTGGATTTATGGGGGAAAAAAAGGTCCATCAAATCTGGGTTCATTTATGCAGAGCTTGGTGTTTCTGATTATTACAGTTTCATTTCAGGTCAGATGTTCAGCACACTGATCACATTTGGGCTGTGCTATTGCACAGAGGACAAGGTGATATGATCAGAAACAAGGGCTTAGTTTTGAATTAATGTTATGAGCATAAGAGGTTTTTGTTTGTGAGCGGTGAAATAAACTGATTTAGAAAGTCTGAGCAGAAGCCTTATTTTAAAATGGTCATGCAAAGTCAGTGAAACTTAACTGTCTAGAACTGCAGTGCTGTCTTTGGTGGTACAAACAAAAGTAGAGCAACACACTTAACTGACTTACATTTACAGACACATATGGATTGATTACAGACAAAGAGGGTCAGACATACAGCCCAAGGCCACAGTGTTTAGTCTAAACACCCCTTAGCTTTAATCCTGCTTCCTGTGTTAATGTGCTCTTGTGGAGAAACTTTAACACCTTGTATATTGCATATCAAAATATGTAATATTGTAGTCTGTAGTCTCCTCAAAATGTTGTCATACTACCAGATGAGGGTTTTTTGGCACTGTCCTTGTGTAGAGTTATAAACTAAAATGTAAACTCAATGGTACTCTTTTGAATGAGTGCAAGATTAAGGTAAACAAATAATTAGCCTGCTGCATGTCTTGTTTGACTTGCACAAAAAGAATATCTGTGTTTGTGCTGTTTTTATAGTGGCCTACTGTGCTGTGTTTACCGCTTGTTTGTCTGTTGTATCTGCAGAGCAGGCAGGGTTATGACCTGCTGGGCTGTACACAACAGATGGCTGAGAAGATCAAGACCAAGTGGACCAACCCTGAGGTGAGTGCTAACTCCTGTGTACAGAAGCCTAACACTTGTTATACAGCAAAGAACCATTTTTAGAAAACCTCTCCCAAAAAAGGTGCACGCATCTGTTCTTAATTAATGAGCTCATACCGGCACTTATTTAAATGAAGTTTGAATATATTTGTGGTGATAAAAGGTGGTTTTAAATTCCATGCAAGGGGTGACAGGGCACCATTTGTATATTAATTTGGATTTTAGTGAGATTGTGCCATGTGTTTTGAGTTTGAATATGCAGATTATTTTTGAAGCTTACATTTAAGAGACAGCTGAACAATCAGTGTATTTAACATTAAGTGTCCAAGTGTTACAGAACATAGATATAAGAGGTTTGAGTTAGAGATCAAACAACAGTGTAGTTATACAAATAACCAGTTGCTTGAAGGTTTTTTACTTACTTGGGAGTGACTCCACAGTCAAGAAAATGATGGTCGATTTTAAGTCATATCCATGGACGTATTTAGGGCAAGCAGTGTCAGTCATCCTAACAAACTGAAGCTGCAGGCACTGGGCATTTCTATATTTTAAATGCAAATGCATATTTATGCTGGCACAGTTGGGATGTCACTGATATGAAGTCCTTGTATGCATTATTTCTTTGTCATGGCTTCTTTTTTAAAAAAAAAAAAGATGAATAGCGATTTAAAAAAAAAAAAAAATCAACTAGGTTATATCTGTAGCAGCAACTTGTTTGATTTTGTAGGTTCTGTAGCTACGATTGAACATTATTTGAAGCCCTAACAAGGAAAAAGACAAAAAGATATTAGTCTGTTACATTTTTTTGTGTGCAGTTATAAATATGATATAGACAGTGTAGTATCAGAAACGGCAGTCTAAAATAGAAGTAGATTATGTCGTAAAGGGATTCAGCATTGTGTATATTCATTGTGCTGCTCCATGCACAGACCACAGATATTCCCTATTGTGTTAGGTTTCTGCAGATAGAAGTCAGCTTGAAGCGTGGCTTCATTGTGTGATTACTGAGTCATGACGTTTTTAGATTTCGGTTGATTTCACTTTTTTGACTCAGCACTTCTGTGCCAAGTCAGAGGTTGTATTTTTCAAAGTGACTGTGATCTAGGCATTGTCATGTAAAAAAATAAAGAGTGCTGAATACTGAATGCCCCGTAGCTGTTGTTAAACCCTTTTTGAACTGGGTAAGCTGACAAAAAAAAAAATCAAGTGTTCAGTCTTCGACTCAGAATATGCATATGGTAAAATACAATGTTGCATTGCAATGAATTTTTATTATTTTATAATTCATAATTAAGGCAATAAGGGGGACGAATTATCCAATATAATAATGAAGATCGTATCTTTACAGGACTGTTGTGCTATTTCACTACTTTTGTTTACTTGTTAAATCCACTCAAATTCTATGCAGGGCTGGCTTTGTGTACCAGCATCTTACTGTCAGTAGTGCCGTCTGCAAAGGCACCTGCTGGTGTAAGCATTGGGAGGTGGGATATGTGACATAGATTTGTTTCTTCTTCTCAGATTGTCTCAATCATCATGACACAGCTGTAACCTTACTTTACCATTTTCATCAAATCTTTTCCAGGTTGCCCTCCAAAAACAAACATGGTAACCTTTTTCTTAATGTCAGCCTAAACAAAAGCTATTCAAACTGAATTTTCATGACAAGTCAACCTTGAAAGCAGTTGCTGTATTTCCATTACAGATGCTATAGCGGGGGCATGTTCTGCCACTGAAAATAAAACCTGACCACATATGCCTAGGAGTTGTGCACTGAGAGGTGTGACAAACAAAGGCAGGATTGGGAATGTGCGTCCGCGGTCTCGGCTATTTACCATTTAAAGCTGCAGTACCTGTTCTCTCTCTCAACCACCTCTGCAGCCCTTGTTCTGCTGTATGCTCTGCTTTTATAACTGTGTCAGAACCCATCGGTGAGCCGTGGCACACGAGAGCATTGTTGAATACATGCAGAGATGTGACCCAAGCACAGTGGCGTAGTGTAACCGGTTAATTAGAGTGGCCTGTGAGAGAGAACACGTTTTCTGGCAGCCAACACCCCACCCAAGTTCATGTGTATTATCATAGTAAAATATCAGTGCCACCCCAAGGACTTCCTGAACATTTAGTCTGGGGTTGTTTCACTGTGGATTTGCAGTGTGCTTACTGAAAACCTCTTACCTGCTTGCTCACAGGGCACTGTGTTAGAGACTATTATGTGGTATGTCGGCATGTCCTCTCGGCTCTCTCAAATGTCAGCGTCGCTTATTATGCATGACAGGCAAGTCAGAATGACTACCTGTGCTGAGAAAAGTTGTGTGTGTGTGTGCACGTATAAAATAGAGGGTAAAGAAAAAGAGGAGCTGGAGGAGTTTAAATTGCATGGTATTGACATCTTAAAACACTTCAGAGAGAAAGAGGGTCTGAGTGGCTGTCTGTGTGTAGGTGAGAGGTGGATGAAAGATTTAACCCTTGGCTTGCATTTGCTTATTAATTCTAATCTGCTTATGTACTTTGCCACAGGCTTGGGGATTTTAATCTCTGAGCTCATATTGTAATTCTCCACAGGGGACTAGAATGTAAGGGGGGAAAACAGTGATAAAGCTGCATACATATTAATAGAGGGCCAGAGGCGTAACATAATTTGAGGAGTAAAGATGGCCGTCTGTCAGTCAGCCAGTCACCTGAAGTTAACTATAGTAAGAGTGCAGGTGAAGCATGTTGGGGTTTCAAACCACAGCAGTACGTAGTCAGCATATTTACCTCGTCTCATGTTTTATTTACTTTTTACTTGTTTCTGCCAACCAGGATGCCGTCTAGGGCACATGCAGTCCACAGAGCCTCTCAGCTACAGAGAGAAGAGTCCATTAGCAGCACAGCAGTATCAGCCCAGTCACAACTGTGTATGTGTGTGCAGTGGCTACATCCATTTTCCCTGCCTCATAAAATCTACAAGAGCAGCAGACACATTAAAGGTGTCTTAGGAAGCTGAGGTTGAGGAATAGACAGGAGAGACATGAAAAGACTTGGCAGACTTGGTAGTGTTAGGTTTATTCACCCCTCTCTACCTTGTCCTATTCTTTCTCTTCCTACCTCCTTTTGCTCTTTAGAGCTGTCACTCCCCTTTTATTTTGCCATTTTAATTGAATTTATCATGTATCATTCCCCAGAAAGTTTCTTGGCTGACATTCCTTTAGTCGAAAACAAATAAAAAGATGTTGGAAATTGAAACTATGCTATTGTAAAACCATTTTATAACTTCCGCCACTTCCCTTTTTTCTTATTGTTTTATATGACTATAGCAGAGCTGTTTTTATTCAAATCAATTATCTGTCCCTTGCTTTGTTGTGTTAGAGGCTAAATTGGAAAATCTAGTTTCTGGGAGAGATAAAGGAGAGCGAGGGAGAGTAGTGTTCACTTGGAACAAGGCCACTGTTGCTAAGGGCAAGGACAGTTCAAATCCATTTAGTCCTAATGTTCTATTAATGCTTTTTAGGCCTTTTTAAAAAAGCATCACACCAAACAGAGCTGTGAATAGGCAGTAGAGTCTGCTGTGATTTGGAACAACAGAGAAACATATCTATCTAAACTCTGTCGCTTAAAATAAATCCCTAAAGCACAAACCTTTTTACCATTCCAATTACAAAAAAAAAATGAGATGATTATTTTTCATCCATTAAAAACAGGGAAAGTTTGAACCTTTGTATCAGTCGGTTAATTTTAGATGTTTTGATCATTGTGCTGATAGACCGTAGCAGTCTTTTGAAACATTTGGAGTTAACTACAAATTAAAACGGCATATTATTTTTATTTTTTTATGAGGAATTTACTGAAGTTTCATTGTGGGTTAAAATGTTAAGATGAAAAACTCCTTTGTTATTAACACAGCTGCTGCTTTTATAATTCAGTCACTAATGGTGTAAAACATGGACATAGCTTATGGGTCACAAAAATCTGCTAATGCGAAAGTGTTTTCAACTTACATTCTATTTATAGGCCACCAGATGGTGATAGCTGTAGTTCCAAAAAGACTTCCGATCTTTGGAAGTCTATGGAAAAACAGCTTTTTTTTCTCTCCCTCTAACTTTGTAAATCTTGGTCATTTTGTTTCAGAATGGAGGGTTATTCATGTAGGTTGCAATTTTACAATCAGTCCCTCTCCTTTTTTCATGTATTTATTTGTTTGTTTGATTTGGATTTTTTTCTAATATCGAGGCTTCAAAATGGCACTTAAGAAACAAATGAATGCTCACGCTGTTTCTTTACTCCAACTAGTTCCCAGTAAGCAGTGGACTGTTGTCCCTCCTGAGGCCTCATTTTGTGGCTTTAGTTTGCAGCATTGGAAATGAAGATTAGCACGCATGAGTGCTTCTTCCTTCTTACTTTCCAATCGGGACAAATTCTCAGAGAAGCTTCATTGCTGAGTGAAAGGTCCAATGGCAGAGAGCTCTTGCTTCTCAACAAACAAAGAACTGATCCAGGATCACAGCCTCCATCTGCCTCAAAGGCCATGGGGCCTCACAGAGAACCAACAGAGATGGTTGAGAGAGAGGACGCCTAATTCCGTGTATTCATACCATAGCGTTGGCTTTGGGAAGGAAGGTTTGTTCTTTATGGTTCCTCACTGTGGCAAAAAAGACTGTGTACAGTCCTTTTGTGTACAGGCATTTTCTCAGATTATTAGAATGTTTAAAATCGAAATTCTACAGTGAAAAACGTTCATCTGTCCATGTTTTTGCTCACATAGTTGTGAACCCCTGCCTATTTATAGTCCTGAGGCACTCACTGTCTCAACTTTACTCTGTTGCATCTTTCCTGACATATTAAATATTTTGCCTTGTTAGAATTAACTTCAGAGTGTTTTTTTGTTTTTGTTTTTTTTTTTAAATAAAAAGTAATACAGCTTCTCAGTTTCAGCATTGGTGTGTTTCCTTGGTACTATTTTCTATAAACTTTAAATTATTTGAAAACTATTGCATTTTCTTTTTATTTACATTCCACACAGTTGTTTTGGCATTTTAGAATAAATGAACTCGGAGAGAGTCATGTAGTCAATGCTGGTCCTTTCTCTCCAGTATTTTACAATGGGGGGCTTTGATACAAGTAGGTCTTGACAATGAATGAAGCTTTGTTACTAGTCTAACCCAGTTGTAGTTTTTTGTTCTTTATCTAAGAGAAATACATTCATGGCATTGATTTTGGTGAAGATAAGAGAATGAGCAATGTGCATGTTTTTCTCTCCTCACACAAAGAAAGTAAATTAAAAGTGTTACTTCTTGCGCTTGGTTTAATGGGCAATTTGGAGAATCTGATTGCTTGTGCAGAAATGGCAAATACACGATAAAACTTTGGGCCCCCAGGGGCCATGGCTCTGCCAACCTTAGTAAAGACTGATGATTCTTTGCTTCACTGGAGAGAGGGAGACTGAGGGGAAACAAGATTAAATAGATGGAAAGGAAGAGAGTGAAGTTCTGCTCAAGGGAAAACGGGAGACAGAGCAGCTGATGTTCATAGATTGAAGCAATTATATTCAGGAGCAGAGATCATGACAAGGGATTTTGGGTTATTTTACCTCATGACAGCATCTTCATTGGAGGTGGAGTTTTGTCTAGACAGAAGAACTGCAGGAACGAGTTTGTTTATTGAGGTGTTTTAACGTAATGAGTCATAGCTAAAGAGAGGCTCGTTGGGGAATGGGCAAAGGAATTAAAAAGGTATCTCAGTGAGCAGTTCTGCTGCCTTGAAAGCCAAACAGATGGCTTGCTGTGGTAGAAGGAGCCTCTGAGATCTCTATCTGCAGATGGGATGCATGGAGTTTGCCTTTGGGGAATCTAATATATGCTATCAATTAGTTAATGCATGACAGAGACCTGTAGGCTTGCTGGAATAATGTTCACATTTAAATGTATAAAGTCCCTATCTGACCCTCACATGCATTGCTTTTAATTGCTTTTCCCCCCGCATTCAGATTTTGAGTAGCTCATTGTGGTTTATTCTGGTTAATTTGTGGCAGCTGTATATTTCTGTTTTGCGGTGAGTTAAATTTGCCCTGTTTATTCGTTCTTTCTCATTGTTTCCTTCTTTGTCTCTTTGAACTCTTTCTACATATCTTAGATGTCTACTGAGGAACTTGAGGAGTATGTGAACAGTCAGTTTGAGGAGCTCCGCAAATTGGTGCTACTGGAAGAGAAGAGGACCCTTCACCTGGTAGACCTTAAAGAAGCATTCCTCACAGCATCTGCTGCTGAGAAAATCGCAGAGATTACTGTTGAGACTGAAAAGCTTCAGGAAGAAATGGCCAACATAACACACCAGCTATGCCTGCTGGAGCAGGCTGAGGCGCAGGCAATAGCTCCTGTAGTGGCAGTAGAGGCCCTTTTAGCAGGGCCTGGAGCAGCTCACAGAGTGCCGGTAAGAGTAGCATTCATAACATTTTCTTTTTATGAGGGATGTTTACCTTCTTAAACCTTTTAAATGCAATGGGGAATATAATTGTTTCCTCTTAAGTTGGTGCCTTTTAAGCAAAATCTGATTTTTGTTAATTTATTTATTTAATTATTTTTATAGCTATTTTCTTTATGTTCTTAGACTTTTACGCTACCTATTTGTTTGACCAGTTAAGCAGGAACTATAGTGTTGCAGAGACTATATAAAAGAAGTCATTCCTGTTTTACTATAATGAAATCTGCCTGTGGGACACATCCCATCTTGATGCATTGTAATGCAAAGTCACCAGACGAGTCCACACAGTCTCAGACACTAACATCCACCTAGAGCGTTAAACTTACCGTCAAAATGTACGTCGTGAATCGAAGCATGCCAGCAGGCTCGCAGCCACAGAAACTATACCGTACCCAGTACACTGGAGCCTTTCCATTTGCATATTTAAACAAGCTTGTTTACTAACTAGACCTAAAAATGTCATTTACATACCAGTCTTAGAACATTAACCAAGTGCTCAAGAAATTTAATGAAAAGACAGTGTCTTACTTGCATGTTTGATTGAACTTGGCACCCTAATTAGCAACATCACAGCACAAGGTCTGTTGAGAAGATTTTGAAAGAATGATTAACTCATGTAACATGAGAATATGCTTGTAAAAGCAGTGCTATTGCTCTTCTCTAAAAAAGGTTATAGTTAGTTTTAAGGTAGGATGAATAGAGAACAAGAACCGCAACACAGAACATAAAGCTGTGTTTATTTGCTTGTGGTTAGGCCTGAAAATGGTCTTGCGCTTGAGGTCTTTGTTTAAAGATGAATGCTGTCAGCCATGGGCGCTTGATCCCAGGTCGTCCACTTGAAAGGATTTTCTTCCAAGTACTTAAGAAACCTTCTGCAAACAGCAACATTTATAAGGAGAACAGGTGCCATCATGCACAGCTTTGTTCCAAGTGAAAAGAGACACTGGATCTACAGTATTTATTCATTATACATTATACATATATATATTGAAATTATGTTTTCAGAATGTTCTCTCCTCTGTTAATGTGATGCATGTAGATAGATGCCGATAAAGCCTAAGCTTTTGGCTGCAATGTAAGGCCAAATACCCTTTTGCTATAGTATTGGCAGTTATAAACACATTTAGTCTTTTTACATCTTGGCCCCTTGGTGAAAGTTTACACCTTGTGCCAAAGAACTGCACACACCTGCACATGTGTGCAACTACACTATATATTATAGAGGTTTGCATGTATGTGAACTCTTGCACAGTAAAGGGTTGCAACCCATCTCCTCACATGTGCATCAAACTCTGTGGCGCTTCACTGCGTGTCTCATTTGAAAATTGAAGAGAAGGCTTTTACTGCTCATGGCCCCAAATTAAAATATCGCATTGGTCCATTTGTCACTCTCTATATTGCAGTCACTGCAGTTAAGAGAGGAGGCTTGAGTGTTCTCTGGAGGTTCTGTGCACAACTAAGTAGGTTGTAGTAATGGCGGTAGCTGATGTGTAGATTGCTTTATGGCCCTAAATGAATGTCGATGGGTAAGCTGTTTGTTGTCATGTGTTAGTTATTAATGGAGTAACTAAAAAGCAGCGTTATTTGTTCACTGGAGATTCGTGTCAGTACAGAAAGAGAAGTTAAGTAGCTGCTCACTTATTACGTATCTTGCTGTATACTCAAGCGAATATACACTGACGCTATCACTCACTTGTTTATCTACAACATTTTGGTGCTCCTACAGCGCTTGTAACTGTTGCATGTTTCATGTAGTCCTCTTGCAGTGTGTTGGGTAACAACCTTTCATGTTGTCATGGATGAAACTAACATTTATGATGACTCTACCAATTATTGATAGCACTGGATGTTTAGGCAAATTTGGGATCAGTCTTTTTAAAGTTTTATCTAGGCTGGATGGGAGCCTTAGTACACAACCATTTAAGGTCCGTCTATGATGGTTGATGATAAATGGTATGTTGGTTGCTGGTCAGAATCTGGTTGGGTCACACTATGAATTTCATAGAATTTACCGAAAACCACACTTGTGTTTACTTGGTGCCTTAGGTAGTTTGTTAGATGTTGTGCTTTGGATCCATTATTTTCTTCCTTTTTTGGGACTAGTTTCCACACCATGATGCTGCAACCACAGTTTTCAATTGTGTGGATTATACTAATGAAGTGAGGCTCAGTGCCTGGTTTCATGTGGTTGGGAAATGTGGCCAAATGGTTCATTTCAGATGCTTTATAGCACTCCATCCCTCTATAAAAATCTTATTGGTGAAGGGCCGTGCTACTGATTGTGCTTCTGTAAGGATTTCCCGTGATGAATTAACAATATATTTCCATAGCCTTCCTTTGGTTTGACATTGTGGAGAATTACATCCAGACTTATATGGAAGAAAATGTGTTGAATCCATTTTAACAAGATTTGGAAAATTAGAAAGGGGTCTGAAAAGTTTTCACATGCTGTATGCGGTCCCTGTTTGCTTTTTTGGATTACTGTTTATTTCTCTTCTTGTAAAGCTCAATCTAATCCTGCTAGCCCGGGAGCTACAGTTCACCCTCCAGCCCTTTTGGAATTGGTGCTCTGAGTTAAACTTTTTACAAGAAAAGAAGGATTTACTGTTTCAGACAATTGCTGCTTTGTATGCATATCAAGGCCAAATACTATGGCCATGTAACTGCAAGTCTGTGAGATATATAAGCTAGGATGTAAAATATATCTTGCACTTATCCTTTTAACATTCTTTGGATGAAAATTAAACAATTGGAAGAAGTTAGACAAAAATATTAAAAGTTACAGTCTGTTTGTTATCACATTGCTCAATTTCCATCTTTTCATTAAAAAGTGGCTGTAGGTACTCATTTATATCATCATTAAATTTGTGTTTACTTAAACAATTACTGATGATAGTACAGTAATTAAAAAAACACACATGCCCCTGGGCAGGAGTCTTACAGCTAAAAGGGCGATATGTGTCAGCTAAAATATCCATACAGATACACAGAGAGCACAGCAAACACTGTAACTGAACATGCACACTAAAACGACAAGACTGTAGAAGATGGTACACAAAAGGTGCATGACTGTAGACTAAACGCGGTTAATACTGTGTAGACAGAGTTTATGTGAAATGCTTAGCGTATAAGTACTGAATTGGATTTCGAAGTTCTCAGAAATATATCTTCGAAAAACAGACACAGAGCCTCACTAAGCTATAAAGAAGATGCAGCATGAACAGAAAGCTAAGAAGCCTCATTATTCAGGCAATCTGAGTCAGAACAAGTGACCTAACCCTCACTTAGCTCTGACCCAAGTCTGCTTTGTTCGGTTTTTATATTTTATACATGTTAGCAGGATTTTGGTTTAAACCATTTGAAAATGATAAGAAATAATATTTTAACAATAATTTTTCTTTTTTTCCACTTCATTTTTTTATATCTATTATATATGACTGTACAAATGGGGTGTCAAATGAAATATATATTTTTTTGCTTCAGATCATTTTTTACACTTTTCAGTTGATGCTTAAAGCTTCAAATACGATTAAGTTGTTATTTGAAAAACAGGTCATTCTTTTAGGATATTTTCGTTTTAAATTCTCTGACTGTGGTTTCTTTCCAGCTTTGAGAGACCAGTTTTTATGTGTGCACATAATAACTAAGTTGCCCCAGGCCATGTGAATAATGTAGGAAATGTTGAATCTGGGCTCATTCAGACCTTGAGGGATAGTTTTGTTTCTATTGAAAAGGTAACCATAGTCCTATAGCTGAGATCTTCTTTCAAACTGCACATTTCTTTTAATTTTGTTCCATTAAAAACTCTTAATTAGACAAAATAAAAATGATGAACACAGCAGTGTAACACAAGCCTTGTTTGTACTCATAAACTGATCTAGTCAAAACAAAGAAATGCATTATGTGTTATTAATAGACAGTTGGCCTGCAATGAAAAAAAAGTCTTGCATGATAAGGTGAAATGTGAAACGGACATGAATATGATATATTTTACCTTTAACAGCCAGTATGCATAACCCTATTAGGCCTTTTTAAATAAAACTTCCATTTCATAAAAAAATGAAATGGAAATTTCTATTAAAATGCGATTTACCTCATTAAAAAGCCATATTTGCTTTAACGGCACAGACAAAACAAGATTACCAGTGATTCATAAGCATCTGCCATCTACAGAGGCAATTTATCATTTTGTATATCACCGCAGTAGATTTTAAATCAGACAACCAAGATTCGATTAAACTGCAACATTTCAACTTTAATTTCAAGGATTGATACAAAAAACAAGTTTTGTATTAGCTGTTTAGGAATTACAGCCATTTTTATACACAGTCCCTTATTTTCAGAGGCTAGACATTAATTGACTTGCAGTCAGTTCCAGGCTTGTTCCCTCAGTATTGCATGACAAATTAAGGGGATAAAAGATCTAGAGTTGATTCCAAGTTTTGAAGTTGCAGCTGTTTACTGGAGCTTTCCATATGAGGTCCGAAGAGATGTCGATCATTAGGCTGAAAAATCAAAATAAACCTATCAGAGAGAAAGCAAAACCTTTAGGAGTGGCCAAGTCAGCAATCTGGTGCGTTATTAAACAAAAGGAATATTGGCCAGTTAAGCAACACCAAAATGCATGAAACATCACAGAGGACAACAAACATGGTTTTGGGGGGGGGGGGTTATAAAACATCTAGCCAAGTCAAGAACATTTCAAGGAGGTAGGAGTGTCATTGTTTAAGTCTATACCTTCATCAATGTATAAACAGGAGTGTTCAATATAAGCACATGTATAAACATGTTAAATTCTGACTGTAAAGATTTCATGTCTACAGTCCAGCAGTAATTTAAATGTGACAGATTTGCTTCAGGAAATAATGAATTTGCATCTTCTAGGATTGGATGAGATTTCATTTACTTTGTTGTTATTCACATAAAAAAGGGATTTTTCTTGCAATGATGATATGAGTGTTCCACGCCGGCAGTGTGACATTGAGAAATCTTTTAAGCTCCAATCAAAATTAAATAGAACGGCCTGCACATGACTAATGTTTGCAGCTTTGTTCCAGTTTGTTCCTTTAAAAGCTCATGAATATACATGAGCACAAGTGCAAAATGAAACTAAAAATTAATGGGTCAGATTTTAAGCCACACCAGCTGTGGACTGCACTGATTTAAATTTAGTTATTTTTTTGTTACTCAAAATGCAAGCAAAAAGATGTCAAATGTTTTGTTTTTAAATATGTTTTTCTTTCTCCCTCTCTCACTCTTTTCTTTCTCCCCCTTTCCCTCCATTTATTATTTTCAGCACAACATTGAGGCCAGGCCAAGGTAAGACTGCCCGTATGATTCATGTTCAGCTTTTTATAGCAGAATAGTTTAACTGTGACTGAAGACCCCTCTGTACCTCCTCCTTCTCCAACATCATCCACTATGACTCTAATTAGCATTTATCTCACATACAGTCACACACCTTACAACTTTTTTTTTCTTTTTCTTTTTTTACCTTCCCTCTAACAACCTGTCATTTCCTCCCTCAAACATCACCCAAACTCATACACATCAAGCCATTCCATGCCTCCAAACCCATTCAGTCACATGCAAGTCACATCTGTGCCCCAGCAAGGCAATTAGTAGTCCTCTTCTGAGTGTCCCCCTGGAATCAGAAGAGGTGACAGTCTGCCTGGTCCAATAAAAGTGCTCAGAACAGCTGCTGGCAAGATGCGTGTGTGCATATGTGCGTGCATATGTGCATGCATTCCCTCATCTGAGCCATTTCAAAAAGCCCAAAAGTGTCTTTAAAAAAACAAACAAACACACGATCTTTAACATGGTTCCTAACTAATGTCTGGATCCATAGTTAATCCTTGAATACAATATTATCAGTGATAATTTTAGGGCGTATCGGCTTGCATGCATTTCTGACAGGATTGCTGCATCATCAGCAGGATCAAGTCTCACTATCTTATACATCATTGTATTTACATCTCTAATGTCTCAAAGCGGGTAAGGTGTGCCTACAGACGTGTAGAAGGGAGATTTCTTTCTCAGCTACTATGTGTTAATTTGCGTGGTGGTTTGTCTATACTTTCTCTTTCACCATTCTGTCTGTGTATGTCAGACAATCTGAAATGGATAGTCTCACACTTATTGATCTGTTGACATGAAAACCTCTCCACCTTCTTCCACCAGAACAGGAGCACTCCTAACACCATCTGTTGTCTCTGCCTTCCTGCTTAGCTGTCTCTGTGGGCTTTCATCTCAAAAGCACTCCTCCCCTCTACAGACACAGACAGATACACAAATACACACAATACACAGATTCAGACAGTTGATCTGTCTTTAAAGAAAATAATTTCTGTATTTATTTAACATAAAGGCTGAATATAAATACAGAAATAGCCATGTGTCGTATAATACACTTTTGATGGACAATATTCTTGTTTCCAGCAAATAGAACTTTAATTTTTAATTAAACTTTGTACCGCTGACATTTGTGCTGCCTGATTGTGGGAAATGTACTTTATTTTCTCCCTGGAGTGTAATGTTCTTTTTAATAAGAAATGAACACATTGGCCAGGGCTGGTGCATGGTGCCAACATGCAGTGTGTTATTGATTGGTCAGCCGCTATTATGACCCTGAAGTTCTAGACCAGATGGCGGCAAGCTTGGACTCGAGGGTGAAATGAAGCTAATAGTTTGCCTTTGGTCAAGGTTAACCTCTACATCTCTGTGTGCGCGCGCACACACACACACACGCACACACACCCTGATATAATTACTCCGACATATTACACTAAAACGCAGTGTGTGCAGAATTTACCATGGCTGGTGAAAAATGGCACCAATTTGGAGAGAAATGAAAGGAAAAAAACAGAAAGGTGTGTTTGAAAGAGCTTGATGTAGGACTGTGTTTGTTTGTTTTGGGGTGTTTTGTTTTTTTGTTTTTTTTGGCCGGGGGGGGCTTACTCATCTTACAACTTGAAGGTGAAGCAAACAAAAAGGTAAGCAGGAAAAAGAGATGAAGTGGAATAGGTGTAGGGAGGAAATAAAGAGAAAGAGAAAATAGATTTTAGAGGATCAAGCATGGAAAGGATGTTTAGGGTTATGTGCAATGGGATCCAGACAGCAAATTGATTATGGAGCAGAAACACTAATCCGCTGTCTGAGCCCCATATCGCTGCCGTAGACAGAGCATTCCCGTAGGACCACAATCCTGCACCCACACACATCTTTCCTGGTCTTGCTCATCAATACAAACCCCTGCCTCTCCCCAAGCCGCTTAACATAGGTACTCCATGCCTGCCAAGATTTGTCCTCCTCTGAATATAAATCTTGCTTCGCTCCCTCCTCCTTCTCCCAACCATTTCTCTGCTGGCTCTAATATGATGCATTGCAAATTTCACTCTTATTCCTTAGCTTTAGTCTGAGCGCCTCCATTCCAGCCCTTGTTCCTGACTTTTAAGTTTTTACATATGTTTGTATATGTGTTTGTCTGGTGTGGATTTAAAGGATACAAAGCTTTTTGAGTGTAATGTTTGTATGAATTCAGATTTGCGAATGGGAACATTATTTGTTGTCATTTATCTAATTTATCTCTTAGACTCTCTTCATGAATAATTTTGGTGGTTTTATATGCTGCATGTGCTCATAGATAAATGCTTAAAGGTGGAAATATCTCATGCTTGCAGCCTTTGACATTTAATGTATCTGTTTTATAAATTTAATTTTACAAGTATTTATTAAATTAAAGCTAATAGGCATTTACCTCCCTTTCATAGCTTATCTATGTACAAACTGGAAGAAAAAGTTTGCAAACCCTGGACAATTAGCAGAATTTCTGCATTGATTACTTCTGCAAAGAACCGTATCTTTTCAGCAGTCGTTTGTCTTGCCTGTTGCAGATTTTCATGAAAAGTGGGAGAGCATAGGGAAAGTGAAAGTATATTCATTTGTGCTGTCTGCATTTCCACCATTCTTGCAACGCAAAATGGTTGAAGCAGAATAAATGCACAAAATTACAGTGTTTTTGATTTTGTAGAGATTACTGTAGGTGCTTTTTGTCGTTACCCTTGCCTACCCCATTTCTTTCATGAGAGCTGCAGCTGTTCTGTATTTCCATCATTTGTTGATTTTGTTTCTCTGTGGATTGATAAAAATCCATGTCTTACAGGGTGTTTTGTGGTGTTTTTTTCCCGTAATGCTTCGTCTACATTACTGCAATTGAGGTTCAAAACAACTAGTCATTTTTAGAGAGTAGTCTTTACCAGTAGCCAGTTTTTCTATTACTTCATTTGTAGGTAGTGCATCTCTACAGTCCACTCTCTCCCAGCTCAGCAAGTAGCTGTTGAAGAAGCTATTAGCACTGAACTTTTTCCAGCTTGCACTGGACTGAGTATAATAAAGACATGAAAAGTATAGTGGTGTGTTATTAGGTTAGTCAGTTTCTTAGTGTTCAGTTTTGAGTTACATTTATGATTAATCAGTGAAGAACTCGAGGTGATTCCAAAGAGTTCAGAAACTTTCTTGCAACTATGTCTACTTGCCAGTGATCATAGACGTGTGTTGCATGCTGTCTGAACACACAAACACGCATCCACAGTCAAGGAAAAGATGGGGAGAAATGGATTTACTAGTAGATTTTCGGTTCCTGAAAGGCACTTTTAAGTTGTCTCCTGAGGTATTGCTTAAGAGAGAAATGGAAGAAAATAAAATAAGACATTGACAGAAAAAGATTTTACACTAAGGAATTCTACGCATTTGCATTTGCCTTTCTGTTAGACTTTTTGGAGGCCTATTTTTAGCAAACGCGTAAACAGATTTAACTGCCTTTTGGCTTGTAGGACTGAATGTGTTTTTGAGTGAGTGGGTTTTTGGAGCTCCGCTTGCCAAAAAGAAGTTAGTGGGGCACCGTTCATGGGATTATTTCATTCTGCTCTGTCACATTATCAAGCCTCTAAGCAAGGGCAGAAGTCAGCCTTAATATGACTGTCGCCTGCACATTCTTGTGATAGATTTGTTGATGGCTGATGGATGTTTGCCCTGTTTGGCTTTAGTTTTAACTTAGTTGTGTCAGAGATGTGAATATCTAATGAACACACCTCTATACATAACTTGCTAAAATAGGTTCGGGATAGTAACTGGTCCCAACACTAGGCCTAATGCCTATATTTACTCTGTCAGGTGTGTTTTTGCTACATTTCTTTAATAAAAAAAACTTACCCAAGCATTTCTGTAAAATTCTGCTTCACACTTTCTAGTGTGACAGTTGTAACTCTAAGTATTTTTGAAAGCTGGCCCATCTTTAAGTTAGGTCCTTTCAGAGAAGGCAGGTTTCTGTTTTCTTTGCTTCCCACAGTGAGCTGTACCTCTGATTGAGCCTGTCATCCTGGCCATATACTACAGTACAAATACAGAATATGAGATGGCTTTAAGAGAGGTATTTTGGGAAAAATCATGCATCAGTGTTTACTTACAATTGTGTCTATATAATAGGTTTAAAAGCTTTTCAAGCCACGAAAAAAATTGTACCCTATTCAAACAAATACATTGAAATCACATCTTAATAACAAAAGTGTTTTAAGTGTGAACTTTAAACATTTGAACTTTGTATTATTACAATGGATATTAATGAACCAGTGGAAATAACCAACGCTTAAAATCATCTATGTGTTAATGTGTCACTTAATCAAATGTAATTAAATTCTGTGTCTATATTATGTGTGAAAATATCATTCCTACTAAGCATGTACTTAGATCTTTGGTAATAAGAATTTTGTTATGTATAGAGGTATATTTAAGACTTTGAAACAAAAGTAATTAATACATAAAGTTGCATTTGCATGGGAAGAAAGTCAGATCCAAGGATAAAAGGGCACTGAAAAGCAGCAGAATCCATCAATAATGGACAAAAAGAAGAAATACACACAAATAAGGAAATAGGATTAGGACACTGGAGGCTATAGTTGTCTTTAACTACATCATATTGCTCTGTCATAGCTGCTGATAATTGGGTTTGTTTCTCAGGTCAGTATAGGCAAAGAAAAAAAAATTTTTTTTAAACTGATCAAGGCCTGTGAGCTTGTGATTCTCATGGTGCAATTACACAAAAAAGGTAAAACTAGCAGGAGAGCACAGCACTTCTAATTCCAGTGTAAAATTCCCCCCATTCGTTGCTTTAATCAGTCACGTCTCTCTCTGTATCTCAGAAGTCCTTTTGCTTTGTCTTACTTCACTTACTTTTTTAATGCATTTCGCATAACACACACAGCTGAAAGTAAAGATTCTCTCTCTGGTTCCTTCAGTAATCTTTTTGCTTTTGTCTTACATAA